GTTTAGACTCTCGTTATTGTAAAAGATACACCCTTACATTGGTGGAAATTTGATGGAGGAGTGCAGAGAACTTGTAGAATAAGCAGAAGAGGATATGACCGATAGTAACCTCAGCGCGCACAGTGGGGGATGGGAGACGCGTGGCCGATAGTAACCCCGTGTGCGACGGGTTTGAGGAGAAGCAGGTTAACAAGCAGGCTCTATGTATTTGTCTGTTTGTCTGTATCTGTCTATCTGTCTGTATCTGTCTGTCTGTCTGTATCTGCCTGTCTGTAACTGTCTGTCTGTCTGTCTGTCTGTATCTGCCTGTCTGTAACTGTCTGTCTGTCTGTCTGTATCTGTCTGTTTGTGTCTGTCTGTCTGTATGTATCTTTCTGTTTGTATCTGTCTGTCTGTATCTGTCTGTCTGTATCTGTCTGTCTGTCTGTATCTGTCTGTCTCTGTCTGTCTGTCTATCTATCTGTCAATCTGTCTGTTTATCTATAGGTCTGTCAACCCATCTGTCTATTACAGTTTTTCTCAGTCGCTTTGGTGCATTTCTCACATCACTCTTCACATTTGCACAACAGTTAGTGCATTTCTCAGAACAATTAGTGCAAACTGCAAAACCTTGTGGATAACCTGCACAAGTGTGTCACTTTTTCAAAATGAAAAGTTAATTCCTCAAAAGCAAGTCTTCATATCAATGAAACTGTCTGTGTCGTCAAAATAATAAGTCCTGACTTAGTCACGTTTTCATTGTGACACTTTACTCTCTCTGTGTTTTTGATGCAAAAGTCAGATCTCGGTGACACTTGGTGCGCAGTATACACTGTACAGCCGAAAACTACAGTAAAGTTACACACAACTGTATTTAGAGAGGTAACTGAGTACAAGGCACATATGTATGTACTGTATGTATGTATGTACAGTATGTGTGTATGTGTATATGTACTGTATGTTTGTATGTATTTGTACTGCATGTCTTTCACATATTTACTGTATATGTTCTTTCCAATTCTACAGAATTGTGCAACAAAAATACAGTCACATACATGTATTTACATAGAACAAACATACAAGAAATATCATTATGGTAGAACTGAGACTAATGTAAACAATCAAACAGACACGTCATGAGTGAAAGCTGACATTCACCTGAGAGACATTGTTCAATTTAGGAGAGATTTACAGGGAAAAAAATTATAAGGAAATGTATGAAATGAACAGATTTTGATTTCGAGAATAGGTCAACAAATTTCTATGTGACGACCAAAGCGATGAAATTGGGACAATTGGTTTTATAGGGAATGACTATTCAGCTTCATAAGTATGTTTCATTTTGACTGACATGACAGAAGCAAATGATAATGTTATAAAACAGCAGAGAATTGTATCAAAGTAACTGATACAGGTCCAAAAGCATTAATCTGTTCATAGGAGAAACTGCAACGATGATGACTCAATTTTGAGGTTGAACTAATAGTTTTGAGAACTTTAAGTCAGATTTGAGAAATGCACATAAGCTACTGAGAAAAACTGTATCTATCTGTCTGTCTGTCTATCTATCTATCTATCTATCTGCCTGTCTGTCTATCTGTCTGTCTCAATGGTCCCAGCTTCTCTGATGTGTAGCATCTACAGTCATTATGTCACATGTGTTGACATGGTGCTCCTTATGGTTTTCCCTGCAACTCAAATAGACCTATCATAAAAGACCGACAGAGGATATTCTTAAACATGTCCAAATGTTTGCATCCCTTTTGGCGAAGCTGTCTGCGTGATGTACACTAGAGCTCGACTTGTGTAATGAAACTACAATATTCACAGTGAGGTAAACGACATTGGCGATGTGTCCTTATGTTGATTATTTATTATTAGATAAAACAGTGTATATTCACAAGGTTTCAGCTCCATGTTTTATAAAACATGTTGTGGACCTTTTTTCAACAAATTAAAAACATTATATATTTTGTTCTAAGTTGTTCTGACTTGATTATGTTGCTCACAATTTATAATGCACAACCACATTTTCTACTTAGAATCATTATACAAGATAGGTCGCCTATTTGACATTGCAACAGGATAAACAAACTAGTTTTTGCTGTAAACAATCGAATAGCTTTGAAATCTTCCTGCCTACAGCGTCGGCACGGGTGACGTTCAGGTCCAACTTGGAACCCTCCAATTAGTCTAATTCATTCTGTAAAACATTTAACAACGAAATAAAGGAAGCCGCTTAAATTACTCATTACACTTGGCCATCTATGTTTATGGCCTAAATACGAAGATATCATGCATTTTTGTTGGATACAGAAGGAAACAATAACATGTGTTTTCGTCTAATGCTCAGTGAACAGATCTGTGCAGGTCCCTGAACGCAGCGCGCTGTGACCGCTGGTTACCTCTCACTGCAGCGCGGAGAACTGGGTGAAAGGGGAATGATGTCACAGTGGAGGAGGAGGAGGAGATGAGAAAAAATACTGTTTCACTTCTGTTTCAGGTCACTGATGGATGCACCCTTACAAACTCCAGTTAGCATCAGATGCAAACATGCAAATGACTATAAGGATTGTGTAAGGATTTTCGGACTTTCTCAATTTCTGATTAAGATAGTCATACGTGAGATCTCATTTTGTCATAAAAGCCAAAGGCATACTCTGTTCCCTTTTCTAGGCCACAGGTTCCTGCTTCGGTTTTGACTCATGAGCATGTGTGTGTGTCTCCCTATAATTGTGTGGGTGTTAACTGTTTCCTACTTAAGGAAAAACTGTGCCAAAGTTCATTTCTCAAACACGGCAAACATCTCTGAAGTTACAGATAAAAGTTATTGTTAAAATAGAACAAAACAATCGGTCTAAATTTGACTCGTCCTTCGGATGAGACCCCCTGTCAGAGCTACCAAAACAACATAAAGTGGAGGATTTTAATTAATGAAAATTGGTCATTTTCACGATTATTTACATTTTGGGATTAATATTGGCTTTTCTGAAATGAACTTAATTTTAAACAAATAAAAATAAAAATAATATTACATTGAAAACTTTTACACTTCTTTTTTCAATAAAGGATCTCTTTAATATATCGAGTATAGGAATTCAATCATGGACAATTTTGATTTGACGATGTGATTACCCATTCACATTAAATGCCGTTATTCATTCCCTCCATACACGGTGGTTATAAACTACTACTGTACTATGTATCACAGTATTGACACCCCCAACCCAGAAATGGAATAATAAGGGGGATGAAAATGAATGAATGATTTTTTAGGAATAATCATTTGATCCAATTTATGCAGAAAGTTGAGTTGAATAGAACATCCATATCAACTGAGTAATCTTGAGAAACTTGACAGTTTTCTTTTGAGGCAGCCTTTGGGTTTGGGTTTTTGAGTTGAAACGGCTGTTGCAATTTACAGTGTAGTTACAGCTGCCCTGGGGCACACTGACAGAAGCGAGGCAACCATTCATACACAAAAAAACATACCACATGCCACATACAACCAGCCACATACAAGGCAATGAGGATTAAGCGTCTTGCCTAAGGACATGATGAAAGTTTGGGACTTTACAGCCGCTGCACATGTGGCACCTGATGTTCCCAGAGGTCTCCCATCACAGTACTACCCAGGCCCTGCTGTATACTTGTATGTGTGCACTGATATACTGTACGTGTGTTACCCCGTGTGTACTCAGTCATTGTTATAAATGTTAGATATCATTGCTAAACTACTGCTTTATACTATTCATTAATGGTACTTTATGGGACAACTTCTTATACCTATACTTCAGCCTTTTCAGCATACTTAAGCGACTGTGAGCTTATTATAGCCTGTAATGAACCCCAGCCCCAGACACACTGTCCTTTTGAGTTGTAGAGGAATGTCAGAGCCCTATCGTATGTCCAGTGGGTCACGTGAGCTGCAGCTGGTGTAAAACATGCTGAGTGTATGCTGTACGACTGTATCAGTTTGCTGAGTGGCCATCTGCGTCCCTCTGTGCTGCATAATAGACCATTCATTCACTCAAACAGCTGTTGGACACCCTGACCCTGCCTGTGCTGTCCCACAAGTCCGTTAATAAGAAAGAAAGTACTTAAATAATACATTTAAAAAAAAACACACATACACATATGTATCTTTCAATGCCTTCTGGAATTCACAATAATATGATAGCTTCCCAATGAGCAGACCTTTTCTCATAATATCGGTTGGAGATGAAAAAGTTCAAATATGGTAAAAACACACACAAGGGAAAACAGTTTAAGCTCTTTAGATATGTGTTGTGTCATCATTTTACTCAAATTATGTCAACTGAATTATACACGTTTTATCTTTTTGCTGTTGCTGCTCTTCCTGTTTACAGAGACCCCAGTTCAACTCTGCTGATGAGGCAACTTCTCACTCCACTTGCTTGCTTGTTCTCTATGTTTTTGTTGGAAAAGAAGATCTTGCAACCCCATGGTTATGTATAATGCAGGGACAAAGATGTGGACATGGGTGTTTCTACTCCAAACAGGACTATCAATGAAGTAGTATCTTACAAAACAGACCTTTTCTCTCTTTTATCATTTATCATGACAGGCTGCTAAAAAGTACTGACTGTCCAAATCCTTTAATAGAACAGAGGATCAAATATCTCTCATGGGCCATTCTAATTCTGAGGGCCATATGAGACAAATCTCACTTATATTTCCAAAATAAGATGCTGTTTTATTTATAGCCTTTACGGATTTCTACAATGAAACGGATGGTTTCACGAGTGGTTGTAGTTAATTTGCATGTTACGCATTAAGGCATGGGAAGATAATAAAAACATAAAAAGATTACACTATCCACAGGTTTATCTCCATGAACTGATTGCAGAACCTATACATTGATAACATTACTAATAGTGTCATCACGAATGTAAAAATAGAATAAGCCAATGAAGCAAATATGTTAAAGGGGGGACAGTAAAAGTGCATCTGCCCCACTAACAGAGATTTTTTTTTTCCTGAGCTCGTGCTTCTCTCACCGCATCCACGTGAGATGGAGAAGGGAGGGAGGCATGGGAGGAAGAGCGCATGAGCCGCATCTTATCAAAACAACCTGCACCGTACGATAGGAATTGGATATATGCTGGTCGTTTCATTGACTGACCTTTAGAATGAATAACATACAAATATGTATTGATATTATATGATGCAAATCGGACTATAAGCACGCACATCTACACGTGCAGGCAGTCCCCTGGGATTTATGGTTTGGCAGTTTTCCTGTGTAACGAGTTGGAGTCGAGATGAATCTGTTATTTCAGGAGTTTTGACCAAGCAGCCTTTAGAAGAAATAACGATAATCATGCAGGCTTGCAAGAAGTCCCCTCAGCTGAACTTGCCCAAAGTGCAAGCTTTTTGTCCAGACCTGGTGATATAACTTTGATATTTTTATCACTCATACATCATGCATGCGTGCAGGGCATGCTGCTGTGGGTATGTATTCTTCACACATTGAAAGTTTGAAGGCCAGTGCAGGCGCCTCAGTCAAGGGGATTTTAAGCTATTACGTTGTGAAAGCAAATTTGGTCAATTTCTCTATGTGTGACAGCGTGACACTGTTACACAATATCCTCCTCAATACTACCCCCAAAGTCACCTGAAGGTCCACAGCTACATCCATGGTCCACAGCTGTAAAATGACTAATCTGGTGCCTATACTTATGACAGTGTGGACTGAAATGTTGAGATTTGGCTCCTCCTACCGGACATCAATGGCCATTGCGCGTCTTCCAACACTGACGTAACGGTTTCATGGCAGAAACATATGGCCAACTTTCTGCAGTTGCGATGAAGAGAGAATACTTATTTAAACTAGGCCTAAAAATTGTAGCTTTTAATTTCTGTAATAATTGAGTTGACAATCAGAAAGAAATTATAGAATAGAATAGTACAAGGCAAAAGACTCCTAAAATGAAACACTCTGAAGACATTGTGTTCAGCAAATTACCTTTAAGATATCGTTTATGTGTTTTATGGCAAAAAGTTTTGCTTTAATAAAAGAGATACAGTAAATAATCTCTCTTTTGATTACCATCATAAGAGCTCCATCATGCATAACCTCTCTCCCATTTAGCTTGAGTATCTTTAGAGATGCTGTGAGATTTGGGTGTTTTAAAGTGCAGTTTCTGGAAATCTGACCTCAGGATCCGATCAGTCCCTTTTTCACGCATCATGTTAATTTGAGACATTTCTGGGTAGGACACAACAAGGACAGTTAGCAGCACAGATCAAAGTGGACAGAAAAAGGGTTGATACCAACCTCAGTATTTTTTGTTTAGCCAATCAAATTTTAATAGGCTAAAAAATTGTCTGTAAGTTGCTGCTCTGTATGATTTTGATAATGTCTTTATATATCTGGACACTGCAACCTTTTTTTCTACAACATGCCTGTTACACTTATCACAGTTCCATCCATTATATTGTCGCTGAACAGCTCAAACCTTCCCTTCATTCATTCATTTTCAACCACTTTATTAGTCCATTTCTGTGTCGGGGGGGTGGCAATGAGAGCTGTCCCTCGCTGATCCTCTGCAGGTGGTGAGTCCACAGGAAGATGGCTGCTAAATCAGTGGTGACCCAGCCTTGGTGTTTCAGCAGCAACTTCAGGCAATGTGGAGTTAAGTGTCTTGCCCATGGACACAACTGCAGCAGACATTAGTGGGAGCAGTTGGAGTAGGTCCCATGATGGGCTCGAACTCCCGACCCTCCGGCCCAATGACCAATGCTCTACCAACTGAGCTACTGTCGCCCCAAACCTTCCCTTCCCAAATTCTTGATAAAGTCACTCCTGCAATTATCTCAAAATTAACTGTTTATCTGGAAAATTCAAATCTGGTTTGCACCTCTCCTACAGCATAGAAATTACTCTCATCACAGTCGCCAATGATTTTCTGATGACCTCTGGTTCCACACAAGCCCCAGGGCTGACCGGCGTCGCTCCTGATTGGTACTTTGGTTGCTAGCTTGTTGCTACCTACATCATTTGGCTCCAGGTTTGCGTTCTTTGAGTGGGCTCTAATTGGCTTCTTTCGCAAACACCATGCAGGGTTATATCAGTACTTGGTTAGTTCACTCTTTGACGGTCTAAGTATAGTATTTATTGACATAAAAGTACAAAGAGGTATAAAAAAGATCCAATCATACTAAATCAGTGTCCACTCAATACATTATACAACAAAACACAAGCTGCAGATTGCCTTTGCAAATGCCAATGTAATCTTATAATCCCAATACTCAATAGCTCACCCACACTGTGACACAAATCAATACAGTTTCTGATCTTGTATCACAGATCTTTTACAAACAGAAAACACTTAGTCTTACCATTTAATAATTTTTCTCAGTGACCCCCACAGTTTGGTGAGCCACAAATTGACGCCTAAATCAGACATGTATTGCAGCTCGGGAGTCAACATGTTCTTGCATACATCTTCATATTTTTTAGCAATGTTACATTTCAGATTGTATCCTACTATTGACGTCTCTCCCACTGGTTGCCATGGTTGCAAATCTGCTCTGCGAATATGTGCTGCATCGACTGGATGACCCCCTTCCGTACACGTTTCCATCATTTCAGCATTTCTCTTTTTAAGCTCTGCTATGTCTTTATACATCCGCTCCCTCCCATACAGCTCCACTTTGTGCCATAAAGTCTTATTGAAATACTGATAGAGCTTCCAATCAATGCTGTTCCACTCACGGGCTTTTTGCCTCAGTTCAGGAGTAAGTTTGGATACAGAAGATTCCGTGCGAGAATTAAGCTTAAAAAACAATATATTGTTCATGCTCCAGCAGAGGGATTCTTTGAGCAGTATGAGAGATTCCTCAAAGTGCTCTGTTAACATCACCAGATCAAAACGTCTTGCAATTTCTTGAAGACTCCGTTCCACCATGAGATTGTCTTCCTCTAGATTATTATCATATCCAAAATCAAAGAACTGCAAATTTCTAAGATAGAAAGAGTACAACCCATTTGGTTTGTAGTAATAGTTTGGATCACGAAGAAATGCATCCATTTTATCCTGTCCTCGAATCCACCAAGTCAATGGAATGATATGACGAAAGTAATGGAAAGATGACTCAAAAAGTTCAGCTGGCTCTCGTAGGATGGTGAAGTAAAACGTGTCTTGAGGTAAAACTTGGGAAACTTCAGGACCATTAAACCTCATATGGTTACACATTATGTTAAAGCACAGGCCAGGTTGATATCCATGGACGTATGACCGATGGAAAGAAGATGGATAGTGGAAGTCGTTTCTGCCGTTGGGAAAAGCAAATGTGAGGTTTTTCTTTTGACCAAAACGAAAGAGTATGTTTATTATGGTGCTGCTGGCGGTTTTATGAGTCTTCATGAACATAATATCCACTTTAGGATCGCAGACGTGTGGTTGTTGTGAAGTGTTTTGGGGAGTGTGGATTTGCACATGAGGACAGGAGGAAGGCAAGGGGAATCTGCAAAAAAATAAAATAGAATAAGTTTAGTCAAGTATAGTTGCAGGTATCTAAAACAAACAATAATCCAATGTCAAGTGATACACACACAAGCAAGCCTCTTTATTTACAGTTTCACACTCAACAATTTGGTACATCGATTTTCCCACGCTTTATTCGTTACCGGGTTGTGGGAACAGCTGTCTAAGCAGAGCCTGACCATAGATGAGGATGGAAACATAGATTGACCGGTACATTGAGTACTTTTTCTCTCGACTCAGCTCCCTCTTCACCACGACAGTCTGATACAGCGACCGCATCACTTCATATTATGCTGTACCATGGCCTCGGGTTTGGAGGTGCTGATCTTGGAAGCAAACCGCCCCAGTGCATGCTGAAGGTCCTAGTTTGTTGAAGCCAACCAACAATTTTATGCCCATGAATTCAATGAACGGAACCAGTGACAAAGGGCAGCCTGGGATGCATTGGGCTGACTTTTACAGCCGGTGATGCACAGCTCTGACTTCGGTCATACAGGGATCGGACCCTTCTTGATAAAGGACCCCGGCTATATACCCAATGAAGGGCATACAGCTGGTCCAGTGTTCCACAGCCGGGACGAACACCACACTGTTCTTCCTGAACCTGAAATTTCTCCATTGGAAGAAGTCTTGGACTAGACCGGACCAGAGAGGCTGAAGAGTGTGATCCCACTGTAAATTGGACATAATTACCACCAATCCCCTTTCTTGAAGAGAGGTCAGATAGTTAGGATGGATCTCATCCACACTCGGGCCTTGCATCGCCAAAAACTTAAATTCCAAGATCAGCCTCGGCCTCCAAATCGGAGGACGTGAAAGGGGGAATGAGGAGAACCACAAAGTATTCCTTCCACCGCCCAACAAAATCGAGGCAAGAAGCTCTCCACCTGATGGTGTTGGCAAAGCACTGCTTCACCTCCTGAGGCATCGAACGGTTTGCCAGATCTCTTCAAGGCTGAGCGAATTATGCTCTATGGACTCCCCAAACTCCTCTCAGTCCCAGGTTTTTCCCTTTGCAACAGCCCGGACAGTGACACGCTTGGCTTTCTGGTACTGGACAGCTGCCTCAGGAGCCCCAGCTACCCGAAATAACCGGGACTTACCATTTAATGTTCATTCAAATTAAACGTATCATTAAAGTGGGAATAGTCAGAATCTCTCTCACTGGTTAGGCCTGTTCAACCGAAGAGAGTCATTAATGATGAATAATATTGTGTTTACTAAATAATCTTCTTCTGACATATCTCCGTTTTAACATGCCTTTTCAGCTCATATTTCACTTGGGCCTGCACAAGATTACCCATGATGCTTTTGTATTTGGATTGTTTGATTAGTATGATATTCTCATGTTGAGTTTGGGGAAATAACCCAGACGGGTAATTGTATAATTGCACTTGGTTATGTGATGGATTCATGTTGAGGGAGGTCATGCAGTAGATGAAGTGATGGAGAAGGCATAAAACATTTTTTTACACTTTAATTTGTTTATCCTTATATTTTGAATCATTAATCTGTCAATCAATAATTAAGATAGATTTTACAAGAAGGTAATTAATGGACTTTAATGTACTGTAATTAAAGTGACAATTGGTGCATTCCTCACTAAGTCCTATACAAAGTGAGCATTTTGATGAAAGCTATCCAAGGTAATGCCATATGATTTCTGTCTTTTTTGGAAAGTGTCTGTGCGTGCTTACTCAATGAGGTTTTGCCGGAGGTGGACATAGCAGAGGTAGTAGAACGCAGCAAAGATACAAAGTGCAGCTGCCCACTTCTTGTAGACGTTTCCCCGGAACATGAAGCAGGGTTCTCTCATCATAGGCTGTGACAAAAACAAATGCAGCCCACAAATATTCATGTATATTCAAAATTGGGTAAACACAAACTAATGTTATGTTGCGCTGGTGTACAGTTTAACATGTTCTGTGGTAATATATTCAGCAGATGCTCAATACCAGTTGCTCTATTATATTAATTTAAAGGTACCTTGTTTGTGTTAAAGCTCAAGTCTTAAAGTAGCTTATTTGTATAATATCCACAGAGTGATATGTCTCATGTTGTGTTACCAGTGCTTTACAAGAAGAATAAGTAGTCTCTATTGGCTCACTCAACTAAATGTTCCTATGCTTAACAAATTACCATAGCAAATGCCATTTAGAAAGTTGCCACTATGCACTATTGCAGATATGGTAATATTCAGTACATTTATGAACCCTAAGAATCCATAAATGACTATGGGGGGCATATACATACATGCATGTTCTTTTACAGGGATTAAAGGGACTGCTGGATATACTGTGAGAAATGGCCAAGCCAAATTATTTTATTTGCAATAATTTCAAAATGTTATCTCTGCCAACCGTATCCACCTCCTCCATAAAACTCTTCTCGTATTATTAAGTCAATACACAAAGTAGTTCAATATAATATATCATAAATTATAATTTTCCATTAAATGTTTGCATATATATATTTCTTGTAGTTGACTGTCTCTTGAGTCTGTTTGTCAAGTACAAAAAGACAATATCTACAAGACATCCAAAATAAGAATATTGTGGCGCACTCACCTGTGTGTTGCTGGGTAGTGTGTGCTCTGCATCTCATGTGTCACCGTTCCTATCTTATCTTTTTATGACTGGATTACTCCATTGGGGATATCACCATGTTTGTCTTCAGTTTTAGTTCATCATGGGTTTATTGCAGCATTCAAACTGAAAAATAGATTTGAACGTTCACTTGGCAGACACCAAAGCGGTGTGAGGCAAACAGTATGACTATGGTTATTCCATACTTTTACATTTTTAACAACTTCAATCTGTTGAAACCAGGTCCAATTTAAATGTAAACTAAAAAAGTAACAGCAGTGAACAGTGATTTAAAGCATCAACATGTAGAAACAACAATTTGTAGCTGCTTGTAGTGAGAAAGGTTTTTTTTGTTCAGAGTGCATTCCTGATTTTCAACGCAAATATATGTGCTTACATCAAGTAATATCTCACTTGAAGACAAAATGACAATATTGTTAGACGGAGGTGATTTCGTTCAAAATAAATTATTATTTGAAAGAAATATTGCATCATATACATCATGACCTTTTTTTAATTGTAAAACTGTTAAGTGAAAGTAAGCCATTTCAGGCCAAGTCCAATGGTCTCGCTGCGTTTCATATGGATCCAAATCTCCGATCACTATGAATTTCCCAAAGGATCTTGCCTCACAGATTACTCCAGTGGGCGGCATGGTGGCTGAGTGGATAGCACTCTCGCCTCTCAGCAAGAAGTTCCTGGGTTCGAATCCCGGCCGGACCAGGGCCTTTCTGAGTGGAGTTTGCATGTTCTCCCCGTGTCTGCGTAGGTTTCCTCCGGGTACTCCGGTTTCCCCTACCACTAAAAATATGTACAATAGGTCTGGCATGCGCCTCCTGTTCGGCGACCCCGCTCCCATCTCTGTGTGGAGTGAGAGGACAAGTGCCCAAAAAATAACAATTGTAAACCGCTTTGTGACTCTGGTCTGTGAAAGGCGGTATATAAATAAAGCTTACTTACTTACTTACTTACAGTGTATCAATATACTTAACGTGGTCAGTGTCGGCCAAATTTGCGGCTTTAGATGACATGGGGACAAATGATCCGTGACAAATGATCCGTGCAATATAAGCTTGACTCGCAACATGGCGTTCGCGCAAAGCATCATGGGTAATAAGCACGTGATGAAAAACCATGTATAGAGACCAAGTAATAGGCAGAATGTCATACATTCATAAGCCTTTGCTAGGTTTACAATCACTTAAGAAGCTAACTTGAAAAAATAATTGGTTGAAGTAATCATGTTTGAGAATTGTTTGGAGATTTTCTTTCATTCTAAGACTGCAGGTTGTGGCCCACACATGTACTGAATATACACGATTTTTTCTAATTATTTCATAAAAATGCTTATTGCTACATACAAGTTGTATTATTATCCGTAATTTAATTGAAAACTTGAGATCATTGATTCAGCTTGTGTATGAATTTAGGCCGTGAAAAGTGCTGAGTGGAGTCTTAACGGGCCGTTTGTTCTCTTCCACTCACAGAACGAGGAGCGAACAGTGAGCAGCCTGCGTCCTCTAGCCTCTACAGCGCTGGTAAACACTAGGGCTTTGACTTCAAAATTCAAATATAATTCTAAAATAAAAAAATATGTATATATTCAAACAAATATTAGACAGCCCTTATAATTCGAAATGTATTTAATGACTGCAAATAAAATAGTTAGCTCCCAAAGGTTTCACCGGGACGTGCTAGGCAGGTAACAGCTAAGCTAGCTATTTCAAAAACTCTGGAACTACATGAAAACTGAACAAAGAATTCTGAACATCATCGGTGAGTTACCCATTTATATACCGAACCTAAATCCATAATCAGATCCTCTTCAAAAGTGTCCTAAAATGTTCGTTCCATGTTAATGGTTACTTCCGGTTTTATCGATTTTTGTCACATTAAAACAGTATTTTTGTCATGAAAACGTTAACAAAAAATTCTGAAAACTTCCGTGCATGTGTGTTAAGAATGTGTATGTATTATGTATTCTCCAGATTAACATTTAAAGGTGTTGATTGACTGATTGGTATTTGTTTATTGAGCGTGGCTAACTCGGCTAGCTTCTCTGCACTGACAGAAGTAGTGACAGGCGCTGAAATATCGTACTTGCGGAGTAATGTTAGTCTTCTACACACCTGAATTACAAACGGAGATTGCGTTGCCAAAGGTCAGCAGTCATTATTGGTTTGAGAGTTCTGTTATCAAGAAAAACAGATCGGTAGAACGTTTTGAAATGACATTCAAGTCACTGGAGTGTTCTACTGCTGCTGTGAGGAGCTATATAATAAATTGTGATTATGATATTCTAATGTTTGAATTAATACATTCGGATGCAAAACTAGCGGTATTATTTCATATATTGTGTTAGCAGTGCGTTGCTTTTGTACCATTACATCAGTGATTGTTGTACGGCTTACAAGAAGCTGCGCTAATGCTATTGTTAGCATACATATCAGATCGCAAATTAAACTAGATGGCTTGTGGGATGAGAGCGTAGGGGAAATGAGAAGCCTGTGAGCGAGTTGGGGGGAGGTGCTAAACATTCAAACCTTGCAGAAACAGGTATAGCTCATCAGATTCAGATTCAGATTCAGAGTCATTTATTTGCCATGGTTGATTTTACCAGAAAGTTCAGGAACAGTAAAAAGTGATTGTAATACTGCCTCAAAGACCAAGGATTCCAGCAGAGGGTGTGAAAGACCAATACAAAGGAGGAGACAAATGAAAGCATGATGATACATGATTTACTTTTCAAAACTGGGGTCTGGGGCTTGAAAAATATACAGCCTTCTCAGCTTTATTTCAATACTGGCTTTCAATTAGCCAACTAGATTTGTGCTTGCCTAAATAATATTTGCTGCATGTACATCATAGCTGTCAACCTATCTTATCTTGGAAGATTTGCAGTTTCGCCGTACTGTTTACATTCCCTGATGGGGTTTCAAATGGAGATTTCAAAGCTTGGGAAATCTAACCCTGATTTAAACTTCTCCATCACTTCATCTACTGTACGACCTCCCTCAACATGAATGCACCATATCACCAAGTGCAATTACAATTTTTTTCGCCTTTAGGTTATTTCCATGGATCTATAATAGCATCAAGTTGAGAAAATCATACTAATCAGCCAAACACATCGAATTAATCCAAACAGAAAGGCATCATGGGTAATCTTGTGCAGGTCCAAGTTAAGTACCTGAAAGGGCAGGTGACAACGGTGATATGTCATAAGAATATTCTATAGCAAACACATTATTAATTATTATTGGCTCTTTATGGTGATACAGGCCTGAACGGTCGGAGTGATTCTGGCTATTCCCAATTTGATGATATGTATAATTTGAATGAACATTGAATGATGAGTCCTGGTTATTCCTTACATATCTATGCATAACAGGCACAGTGTGGTAGGCGATGTCATTATTCAATACATCAAGACATAGGCCGACAAGGAGAGTCCCACACTGCCATTATCAAGCCAGTCAAGTGTGTAGTTTATGAGCCAAGTTGAGGAAGAATAAAGTTTGTGTCCTGTCAGCACCATTCTTGTCACCCTTTAGTGGGGGTCAGGGCAGCAGTAAAGACACTTAAGCTGCCAATAAAACATATTGAATGGGGCGTTCTTGATAGAGAAGTGGCGGCAGGAGCGGCTCTAATTATTGCGGTGCCAACGGTGAGGGAGCCTGAGCCCAGAGCTATAGGACTCCGGTGGGACTGACGGGAGGACGAGCAGCCCTGCCTTCATTACCATCTGAGAGCTCGAGGAGAAAAATCCTGATCTCAGACAAAAGCACTATTTATGTGCGTTCACTGCGACAGAACGGCCACGGCAGCATCTTAATTAGTGAGGCAATGCAGGTTTGTTAAAGATAAGGTGACTGCTAAAAGGGATTTTAGGATATCATCTACAGACCACACTTTTTGGAATATATTTATGTATATATATATATATATATATATATATATATATATATATATATATATATATATATATGTAACTCGAAAGCTCCTTACCATGCATGGCGGGTTCCATCCCAAATCCAGCACCCTGAGACTGTACGTGAGCCGTAAAGAAGGAGGCCGAGGACTAGTGAGTGTGAGAGCCACTGTCCAGGACGAAACATCCAAACTCCATAACTACATCATGGAGAAGGCCAAAACGGATGACGTACTCAGTGAATGTCTCAGGCAGTGGCGAGATGAGGAGGTGCTGGAGGAGAGCCCATAATGGGAGAACAAG